TTTTGTCACATATATCATACAAATCTTATTTCTTTTTAAACTTATATAATTGTATTTATCAAGTAGATTATGAAAACAATATATATCAAGATTTTTCAATTGATCTCTAACTAATAATTCATTAAAATAATTATTTGATAAGTATGGTTTATTCTTTTAAATTTTATCTTTATTACATGTCTCAGTTTTTTTTAACGTAAATATTTTTTTCCTCTTTTCCTTTATGTGTATTACATGAAACAAGTCTTAAGATTTTCTCATAACGATATTGATAATACATGTGTAAAAACTTTTTAGTTTAAACAGATTTAGGTTTACATATCCAAATCGTCATAAATTATAATATTTTGTATTTATATAATAAACTTTGTGCTCTCTTAATCTCTCAACCAAACAGTTTTAAACTTCGATAATCTCTTCCACGAGTTTTATTTCAATTTTTTCATTTGAAAATAACATCAATTATCCTCTTATTCAATACATTAGATAAATTACGATGATCTAATCATAGTATTTCTATTCGCTTCCTCTAAATTGCAAACTAAAACTTTGTGCATCATTCGTTTTTTGCAAAATTTAAAAATCAATTATGTGAAAAAATCTTATTAAAATTAGCAATTTTAGTTTGCAACTAAAAATATGAAATTTATTTTGTCAAAATTGTGGAAAATAGATATATGAGTAGATACATAAAAAACCTTATTCAATTAGGAATAGAAAAAAAAAACTAATTATTTGAAAATATTTGACAAATTTAAATGAAAAAAATATATAAAAGAGTCAAAATAACATAATAACGATGAGAATTCTCTATTAGTGGTCTTGCACTTTTTAGTTTTGTTATTTTTTACAGATTACAAAATAATTATAAAACTTAAAAATTCAAAAAGGAAAATGAGTAATTAATTCATTTAAAAAAAGAGTAGTTAAGTAGTAAAAACTAAATTACCGTACATGAATAAAAAAAACTAATTACGTGATAAAATTTAGGAATTACTTGAAAATCAAATAAGAAAAACAATCAAATAAAAAATTAACTCTTAAATTATTTTATATCAACATTTCCGA